TTTTTCCAGGAGATCCTAAGACTAAGAATATTCATCAATGTGGAATGATTTATAAGCTATCCCGCCTGAAGGCAAAAATAATAATTAGATCTCTCTGACATCCTGTGAAGGTACAATTTTGTGTTTGGTGCATCACATAATGAGATGAGAATATTAGTAATTAGGAAAAGAAATTCCTGGGGGAGGAGAAAAAAATGGCGTAGATGATAGAGGCTCTGTTCATCCCTCTGGTGACCAAATCAAAGTTGTGACAGAAACAAGGAGCAGCAGCAAGGAAAAATTGCCTGGGATCTATAGGAACAAGCCATACAACTAGGGAGAAATCCAAGAAATCACCCTGCAATAGCAGAAGGTAGGACAGGGCGAGGATGCGGGGCTGCCGGGTCTCAAGCGGCTGAGTGAGATGGAGGCTGCAGCAGCGACAGCGGCAGACACCTCTAAAAGGGGCCGCATCCGCAGGTGGATTTTCGTGGTGTCGGACCTGCTCATTCTGAGCACCAGTGCCGATTCCACTGCACGCAGGGGGCACCAGGGACTTACAGGGAGACATGTTGGAGTAAGGACCAAGGTGAGACTCGCTTGGTACAGAAGTGCCCAGCGGTATCCATTATTCCCTGTTGAGCCCTCCCCGCCGCCCAGTGCGTGGACACAGCACTGCCACTGCCGAGAAGTCATTGAACTGGATAACAGAGATCGCTCTGCCCAGAGGATTCCCTGAAACCCCGCCTCCCCCAACTCGGGCCCCACCCAAGCCACATCCAGGTATATCTTCAGCAAGTCAGGTGTTCCTTGCTGAGACTCACACTGCTAGAGGTAGCTGGCTTCGGTTTCTGGTGTGGCCTTTGAGGCAACTGTAAGCACAGCATCTGTGGATTGCTTGCTGAATCTTAACAGCTGGCCCCGGAGGGGTATAGGCTTGGGCTAAGTTTGGCCTGCAGCTGAACCCCTCTCAGGACTGTGCCACTGGACAGCTACTTCACAAATCCACACTAATAAGACCAGGAGACTTAGGAGCTTTGCTTAGTACATAGAAACAGACACGGAAAGGCAGCCAAAATGGGAAGACAAAGAAGCAGAAAGCATATGAGAGAAGAGAACAGAGATCCAGATATAATGGAGTCAAGTAATCTAACAGATGCAGAGTTCAAAACACTAGTTATAAAGATGCTCAATGAACTTTTGGGAAATGTAGAGAACTCCAACCAAGAGATAAAAACTATAAAAATAGAAATGGAAATTATAACAGGGAACCAGTCTGAAACTAATATTCTCATCTCATTATGTGAT